TCGTTTATTCGTATTCATCCTTCGGGTCTGTGAACGCCTACAACCCACAGTTTTGTTTTATTTATTTTATGTTTCGCTCGTTTTATCTAGTCAGGTCGTTTGATATATTTTTTGCTATTTATTTTTATAGTGCGGGGAATTTGGCCACTTGAGTGCTTTTTGTTCTGAGCCGTCCGAGTCTTCAACGGCCAACCCTCGCCGCGAATGACTAGATGAGGGGGAAGACTCGCATTCTCTCGTTCAGTGTGATTTGCCCTCCATTGGTTTTTCAGAGGAATTTTGTGCCGGCAATGCGTGTGCAGGAGTTAAGGGCTGTTTAAAGTCCTCCGTCGGTTTTTGGGCGTCCACCTTAGATGCTCCTCAGTTTGTTCTCGATACCATTTCGCACGGCTATCGGACTCCTTTAGCCAGTTATCCAGCCCCGTGTTTTTTACGTAATAATTTGTCAGCTCTTAGGCATCCTGACTTTGTTGTTCATGCAATTTCAGAGCTTTTGGACAATGGCTGTATTACGGAGCATCGAGAGCCACCTTTTTGCGTTAACCCTTTGACAGTGGCGGAGGGCAAGAAGCTTCGCTTAGTAATTGATCTTAGGCATGTTAATTGCCACCTCGTTCGTTTTAAGTTTAAGTACGAGAACCTTACCTCTCTGTCACAGGTTCTTCATGAAGGGCACTGGTTCTTTACCTGGGATCTGAAATCTGGATATCACCATGTTGATATTTGTCCAGACCATCAAAAGTACTTAGGTTTTGCCTGGCGCTTTAACGGCGTACTTGGGTATTTCACTTTCGTTGTTTTACCCTTCGGTCTCAGTAGTGCCTGTTTTTGTTTTACCAAATTGCTGCACCCGTTGGTTAAGCGCTGGCAATCTATGGGTCATAACTCTTTTTTTTACCTTGACGACGGTTTTTGTAGTCAGCCGGAGAAGTTGTCTGCCTTCGCAGCAGCTTTTATTCAGCGGAAGGATCTTGTCTCTTCGTGTCTCCTTGTTAACGAGGAGAAGTCCCAATGGGTCCCGATGCAGGTTGGCGAGTGGCTCGGTTTTGTGATCAACACCATTTGTATGACGTTTCGAATTCCCGAAAAGAAGGTTTACAAGCTTAAGCGGCTTTTGGATTCCGTCATCCAGAGCAGGCATCGTCCTATCGCGAATTAGCCAGGATTGCCGGTTCCATTATTTCGGTGGCATTGGCGGTCGGTCCTATTTTCCGTCTTCTGACAAGGCAGATGTACTTAGCTATAGAGTCTAGGTCACTTGGGATCACGTTTTTTCTCTTTCCTCCTGCTCTACTGGAGGAATTGCAGTTTTGGTTTTGTAACATTGAACCTTTCAATGGTTACTCCATTCGACCCTCTCTTGATTCATCCACCGCTGCATTTTACGACGCGAGCGACGCAGCTTTCGGAGGCTTTTCTGCCTCCCTGGACGGCACTGTGGCCAGCGGTATGTTCACTATCGACGATTTGGGTCAAAGTTCTACTTTTCGCGAGCTGAAAGTTATTTATTATGTCTTGATTTCGTTTGTTGAGCACCTCAAGCACGGGCGGGTTAAGATTTTCACCGACAATCAGAATGCCACCAGGATAGTTTCCGTTGGCAGCTCTAAGGTCCATCTTCAGTCGGTGGCTCTGAGCATTTTTCGTTTTTGTTTTTCGCACGGTATTGCCTTGGAAGCGCAGTGGATTCCAAGGTCACTCAACGAGAGAGCTGATATCTCAAGCCGGTTCGTCGATAAGGATGATTGGCGTATTAATCATCGGGCTGTACAGTGAAATACGGCCCGCTAAATTGACCAGTAACAGAGCACTTACTGACTAAGAGACATGATAAACTCCTTTAACAGCCATGATTTGGAGCATCAAATGACGAGGAGAGCGTTACGTGGCATACGAAAACATAGAACGATTGGAAGAAAATTAAAAAACGCTGATATATTTTTTTCCTTTTTTCCGTATTATTGGCGTCGTTGCTACTGAGCTACTCTGTCAACTAGTTAACACACCTACGGTGCATTCACATGTGAAAACAATGATGCAGTGACATGTTCGAAAACTGTCAAGTATGAACTCAAAAGTGGCTGCTACAAGACTGGCCTCAGGATTAAATAAGACAAAGATGGAGACAGAGAGAAAGATGTCTTTTGGCTGTTGGCCGAAGAAGAGCCATAGTATTTTTGTTACCGCTTTCCTCCATGGCCGTTGATCATTTATCTAGCCTGCTCAGGAATTGACAATGTTGTAGTTTTCTTAAACAGATCACACAGTCACCTGTCACCTTAAAAATTCTAGCTTATGGAGTATTCAACTTACAAATTTTGTTTTTGAAATTTCTTTTGTGCGCTGGCTGACGGCTTTTCGAAAGAACAAAGAATCTGGCATAGAGTTTGTTTTATTGTGTGTTCCACCGACTCAACTGACATTCATTTTGATCCTTGTCGATTTGTTTTCGGTGAATTAATTACGGTTATTAGTTAATTACGGTCACTGATATTAAGTGAAATATTTTCAGTGCATTGTCCTGCTATTTTTAATACTTTTGACTGAGGACCACTAAAATTGTAAGGTGTTTCTACCGAACCCTTGCAAAAGTGATATTTGTTCGATCGTTTATTTTTTCCTCTCGAGAAGGAGATTAGTTATTTTAAAGCACATCGAACTCACCTGGCAAATGAAATATCATCTGTTTCGTTTCGCTTACTTATTACTAGAACTTTCGTTCGATCATTCCTAGGAGGAAGAAAAAAAAATGTAAATCTCCCAATTCTGAATGTATACGAAAAGTGTTCTTTAATTCCTCTGACCTCTCAGCGGGTAATATTCTAAACACTGGACTGTTTATCATGTTAAATGCCACCTTCTTGAAATAAACATGGTTACCAGCTGAGGAACGTAACAAACTGACCTGTGCATATTAATGAAATGCCTCTTTATTGTTTGGTTTGTTTTTGTAATATGCACATAGGTCATTAGACTCAACTTCCTTCGCCCTCCCGAGTCTTGCTCAACGTAGGTTTAAAATCGAATGCATCTCTGGGATTTAAATTCACTTCACTTTAACGTTCGAAATTGAGTGATCAAAATTTAAATCTTTATTACCAAAAGAAAAAAGAAACGTCGGAAGCGCTCTTTGCGTGGAATGTCTCGTTTACTTTTGAAGGAGTCGCACTTGGAAACGCAAGAATTATTGTGCTGAGCGTCTCCTCGCCCCAGACCCCGAGACTTACGCGACATAATCTCACAACAAACCCGGAAACACAGGAGACGATCGGTGGGCATTCTTCGGATTTTAATTTTAATACGACGCTTGTAAGAGAATGGTCAAGGTTGTAGCCACCTGTTCTTCAAATTCAAGGTACAATGCCATGAGTGTTTTGGATTTATTTACGAAGGGCCAAGTTAATACTTCAGCGGATTTTCCATTTTGATCTAGTTGCAAGCATAGACTTGCCCATTTCGCTCACAACAGCTGTTCCAATACGTCTTAATGATGGTCCATTCTAATGAGGCAGATTTACATTCTTCGAAAACAATTAAGCAAAGTTTTGGATTTCGTTTATTTTACAAGATTATCGCGCGGTTATCGTGTAAGACATGTAACTTAATTTTGGACTCGAATCGATCAGAATCGATCGTCAAATGAGCTAGAGCTTCTTAACGTAATGGGTATTTTTTTAAATCAGTTGTTGATCGTAATAATACTGCCTTTTTGAAATATGAGTTTACATCTGGGCTTTTGTGCTGTATAGGTGGTTTGCACGTTACGTCAGGGCCGCCTTGTTGGTGGACGTAAACAATGGATATCTTATGTATATGTGCACGATCCTTCGCAGTAAAGCACTATTTAAGCAATAGTGAAAATCAGACCTGAAAAAAAAA